TGATAATAATAATAATAATAATAATAATAATAATAATAATAATAAAAATAATAATAATAGTAATAAATAAAAGTATCAATAATAATGGTAATAACAACAAAATTAACAGCAACAACAACAATAATAGCAACAACAACAAGGCTGATGTTAATATTAACATAACAGCTTGCATTTGTTTTATAGCCGCCCATCCCTTACATGTCTAAGCTCTAAACTTCACACCGAAGGGCTAGAACCCAAAAAATGACCGCGGGATCAGAAAAGTAGCTCTTAGCTAATTATAACGCATCTGTCCTCCTTCTCCACCTTTCCTTGTCCCACTTCACCACCTGTTCTTTGTCACATTCTGACGACGTCGTTTATCTGTGTCGTATCTCGAAATTTGAGGTTTTTAGAAGAAGCCAAAAATCTATTATTTCGTGCAGAATATTATTTTAATACAAAATGTTAAGAGGGGGGGGGGGTACAGCTGAATGCTATTTCACTTTTTAGTGGATCAAATGTCACCTAAATTCACACATGTAACAAGCATGGTAAGGAGTCTTAAAATCTGCAATCAAATTTGAGAAAAAAGTTTCGTTTCCATAAATACAGCGGCCATTTTAGATTTTGTTGACACTTCTTAAGTATTTAATACCACACTTTTTTTATGGAAATAAATTACTTTTTTGCATTCATCTCGGCAAACCATGGATTTACAAATCAATTAAATGAATTTTTCCTGAACGTCTTAGAACACTTTTTATGAATTTTTCCTGAGGTAGCTTTCACCTTTGCAAATAAATCCGTGTAAATCCACACTCCAAAACCATAAACGAAAAAGTTTTTCACATATCAAAAATTCATGAAATAAATTGTTAGTATTGCATCTTTTCTTCACTCTGTGGAAATTTCATGAAGATTGGATGGAAAATGGTGGAGCTATTTTTAAAAAGTATATACAAAAACCACGTTTCGAGAAAACGGGCGATAAAGAAAAATAAAAGATTGACTTTATCAGGAAAAGGTGGTGACAAACATGCCCGGTATGGAAAGAAATACGGCTTAAGGGGGTTCTTATGCGATGAAATAGTTGAAGAGAGGCAGAAGAAGCTAAAAATGTTTACAACTTGAAATCCACAGTTATGAGCCGAATCAGGACTTTCAGCTGTACCCCCCCCCCCCCCCCGCCCCCACTTTAAATGCATCTAAACCCGTCACTATTCTAAGAGGAGGTATGAGGCTAACACTAATCGTTGCGATACATCAATCTTGACAACATACTTCCTTTTTTTTCTCAAAATCTTTACATACATTTACTACAATATTGAATTGCAGCAATCAACCGCCAGGGGCAGTGCCACTGATTGAAGTGTCTTTAGGCTCTTCCCAAAGGGGGGGGGGGACTTCCTCGTTCTTATGCACAATAGAATTGTTGATTCAACAATGTCACGCTCAAAACTATGCCCGACCTACAACAGGGAACTGCTGTTTTTTCTTTCCTAATCCTTATTATCGTCATTTTCCTCTTTTTCTTTAGTATGTTTGTCTCACTCTTGTGACCCGCTATTTCCGGGGTGCCTTGAAAGTCGAAGCAGACTTTGTGCTGTTGAAGCTAGAGAGGTGAGCAGAGAAAGCATGATTCCCTGTAAAGACTTCTCTGTTGACATCCACCCCTTGGCGCTCATATGACCTTATGCAATTGCGAGCGCCGTAAAACCTCTACTATAAAAAAATGGCAGCAATGGTTTGAAACCGTACTGTAATTAATGAAAATAAGAGCATATTACGTTTTATGTGTTATTGTGTGTGTGTGTGTGGGGGGGGGGGGGGTTCCAAGTTTAACGCACATGAGGTCTGAGTTTTTCAAATGAAAACGAATAAACAGTCAAAATTGTGACAAGTCAAATGTAGTCCCAGTTCTCCCACGCTCTCCCCTTTTTATTATCTTATTTTTATATTATTATATTTATCTATCTTTTTTTCTGCTTTGGCTTATCTTGTCATCCGAGTCACAGAGTGTGCAGACAGCAAGCAGAGATAAAAGAGACAATAGATGTTGTTTCTTGCGTAGGCGTAGTTCTTTCACATGGATCACTATAAAACTGAAGGAAAACGTTCGATTTTAAGTTCTTGTCATATCCCTGAAGTGCACCTGACATCGGCATTATGAAGGTCCTTGGTAAGTATAATTTTGTCTGCCCGTCATTCCTCATTCTCGTATGTCAAAATAGTACAACGAAGCTTAAAACTGTTGCATTTTGTCTGGGGCATTATCTTAATACGTTAACATCATCTACGTTTTCATTCCGAGAGATAGGGCCTCTAAGTCAATATGTTAAAAAGCAAAAAGTGCAGCGCTCATGAAAAAGAGGCACTTTGTTTAAGCAAAAATATAATATGTACTTGTAGCTTTTTTGGCACTATAATAAACTACTAATCGAAACTGTTCGATTGTATCTTTTCCTTGGCATTGTGCATACCACTAAAATGAGATTCACATATAATTTTAGGTTATGGTATGATGCCGTTTGCTGGAAGTGCATTAACATTTTATTTTAAAGGAACGTGTTTTGAAATATTGCAGTCGTTGGTTAGATTCAGCTGCCACAATCTGAACGTTTTCACAATCGTTTTAATAAAAAGTTACGATATGTTTTTGATACGAAATGCTTAGTTGGTATTATGCTGGATCTTGGCGGCCCTGATTTGAATCCCCGACTGGGCGTTCTTGAACATTCGGATCGTTTGCGGCGCTTTCGAGGCTCTCAAATCATATGGCTCAGTCCTATCGGAGATGGACGTTAATTAAATTCAACTGTCGTTCCTCTTAGATAATCTAATTGAATGTCAAAGTAACGCTAAACCTACGCACTTACTACGACATATATGAAATGTGGGAAGCATGTACTTAACTTTGAAAACGTTTCCTTTGCTTTTGATGAAATACAGTGGCCATCTACCTTGGAAGTAGAACTCTAGAGATACACTGTAGTTACGATTGAAGAAGGTGGGGGTCGCCTATTGTCAGGGAAAAATCAGCGAGAAAATGACCGCCAAAGTTTGGTACTTCCAAAGCTTGAGAGTCCTTGGAAACTGCAAATTTATATATTTTGTACTCTTTAGTCAACCGATTTCAGTTGTTGTTGTTTTTTTTATTCCACATAAATTTGTTTTTAAAAGAATAATGGTTTTTTTAAAGTATAAAATAAATAGATAAATAAAAGACT